TTGTTTTGTTTTGTTTGTTTTGAGAGATAGAGCATGCCAGCAGGGGGATGGGCAGAGGGAGAGAATCTTAAACAGTCTTCATACCCGGCACAGAGCCAGGTGTGGGGCTCAATCTAAGGACCCTGAGATCATGACCTAAGCCAAAATCAAGAGTCAGACTCTTAACAGACTGAGCCTGACCCAGGCACCCCTAGAAGTTTTTTTTTTTAAACATAAGAATCCTGATTGTTTTCTAAAACCTAAGCATAATGCAATATTTTTGTCATTGTTTCTGTTTTGTTTTTACTATCACTTTTTTTTCCCCACAAGGTCAAGATAGGAGAAATAATTGGATGTAGATAAATAAGCCAGATTTTACTACACAGTTATGAAAGTTAGGTCACAAAATACCCATGCATTTCCTCCTTCAGATTGGAAAAGAATGTCTGATTATCTTGGTCTATTTGTGCTGCTATAACCAAAAGGCTACAGATTGGGTGTCTTAAATAATATTTAGTTTTCAGAGTTCTGGAGGTTAGGAAGTCCAAGATCAAGATGTCAGATTTGGTGTCTATTGAAAGTCCACTTTCTGGCTTATAGATGGCCATCTTCTCACTGGTGGAAGGGGCAAGGGATTTCCCTGGGGCCTCTTTTATAAGAGCACTAATCCCTTAAAGACCTAATTACTTCCCAAAGGCTCCAGTCCAAACACCATCACATTTAGGATAAGGTTTCAACATATGACTCTAGGGTGCAATAAACATTCAAACATTCAGCCTACAGCATTAATTAAATGATTCACAATATTTATGTGGTGATAATATACTGGTTTCCCAGATAAAATGCAATACTTGCTGGTATACAGGACAGTGTGGTCCCTGGATCTCATGGGAACTTATTAGAAATGTAAATTATTGGGCCCTAACCCAGACCTACTAAATCAGAAACCATGGGTGGGACAGCACTCCAGATGATTCTGAGGCACGCTCAAGTTTGAAAACCACTGTGTTAAGGTGGGAATAATAAATTCTGTCTGGGTTGATTTGTGACTAAGTAAAGTAATTACTGAATTAGGCCTTAAAGAATGAGTCAAAATTCTGTACACCATACGTCTTCCTTCAGCTGAAAAGAATTTGATATATTTGGAAAACAAATAGATTGGCATTGTGATATTATGAGAAAGCATTAGCATTGGAATTTGAAAGAGAATTAGCTTAGGATGTCTTCTTGGAGGATAATTTGGTATTATTGATCAAAAGCCTAGCAATTCTACTTTAAAAAATTTATTCAGAGAAAATAGTTGCTCAAATGTATGAAGATGGGTGTACAAGAATGTTTCGCAAGGCATTGTTTCTAATAGTGAAAAATGAAGAATCTACCTCAATGTCCACTAGTAAAATAAATTATGGTATATAATTCTGATGAAATTCTAAGTACCCATTAACATGATTATTTATTAATAAATTGATTAATAAAATGATTACTAATAAAATGTCTATTTATTAATGATACTATATTCATAATAATTATGATTGAATACAAACTATAATTATAAAAGAGTATGTGTATATGAGTCAAATTTGGTTAAAATATCTATAAATGTATTCATTTATAGATCTATAGCATGGGGGAAAATGTAAGTTATACACCAAAATGTTAGCAATGGAAATATTGATGATGTGTATATATTTTGTTTTTCTTTATCTCTATTTTCTAATGTGAAACTGTATTCCTTATATAAAGAAATAACAAGTTTAAAAACAACCTAATCTAAGACTGTTAAACAGATTTTTAGAAAGATTTATTTGAAAGAGAGAGAGAAAGAAAGAGAGTGAGAGCAGGGGGAGGTGAAGAGAGGAAAAGAATCTCAAGCAGACTCTGGGAGCTGAACATGGATCCCAGCATGGGCTCAATCTCAAGACGCTGATATCATCACCTGAGCCAAAACCAAGAGTCCAACACTTAACCAACTGAGCCACCCAGGCACCCTGTTAAGCAGATTTTTTACACAATCTTATTATTAGGAACAAAAAATATTAATTCTGCTTTTTAAAAACACTGTATTTGTCCTAGAATATTTGGGAAAAAAACCTAATCACTCTTGCTTTAATAGTTCATTGTCAAGGTTACTGTTCTAAAATCTGGCATTGGTTTATTTCTAAAAGTTTGTATTATTATTAGGTAATTACAAAAATATGGATTTCATCTTAGAAGTTCCTGGAAAAGTAAAAATTACTCTGTAGTGGAAGGTAAGAAGATCCTGTGAATTTGGAAAATTTAATCTCCCTGTTTTTGGCCTTGGTATTCTCATCTATAAGAAGTGTCATGATCAGGAGATCTTGATGGTCCTTAACTGCTCTAATATTCTAGGGATCTCTAATGAATTTAGAAGCCCAACTATTTTCAGAGATCTAAATGAGGAAGTATGGAAGCTAAAAAATAAAATAAATTAAAACTCTCTAAAATGCACTTTAAAGGATTTTTCTTCTGATGTTACACAAGATGTTGTTGATACTTCTCTCCTTTAGTATAACTTCTCCCTTAATGGAATTTTAAAAGAAATGTGTTAAATATTTAAAAATATTTGAACATTGGTATACTTATGACACCTGGTGGTCAAATCAAATATCACATCTAAATTCTGATTCCCCAGACACGCCCTTTCTCTCAGTGCGACTCCCCCCACTCCCCCGATTTATCCACTCATCATGCATTCAAGTCATTCACTCAACAAACACTTAGTTCATCCCTAATATGTTCAAAACATTTGAGGAGACATTTTACTATGGAGGAAAGAAAGTAGTATGAGAATGAGTCTTTGATATGTAAGAGATTGCAATCTATTTAGAGGAACAAAAGAGACTACATGCAAAGGTAATAACAGCACGTTGTTAAGTGTATTAAATGCATTCTCACTAGAAAAATGATCAGAACTATGGACTGTGAGGCCGTTGAAGTGACCTCTGGTTTGGAGAGTTCAAGAAAGTCTTCTTGGAGGAGGTGAAGCTTGCCTTTCTTGGGACCTAAATTTCCTCAGCTGTAAAACAGTGGTAATGTTATATTGTTGCATAAGATTGCTGTGAGGGACAGATTGAGAGAGTGTATACAAAGTACTTAGCATAACACCTCATCCAAGTAGGCATTCAGTGATTTTTAATTATTATTATAACAAAACCAAAGATGATCAGGGAAGACTTCATGTATGTTAACTATTTTCTAAATTTTATTTCAAGAATAATTCTGGTTCAAAAAAAAAAGATAATCCTGGTTCACACTTACATAGCTTTTTATTTAAACTGAGTATACAGAATACAAGATCAATTATTTTAGTTAGTTCAGTGGGTAAACAAACAGACCACAAAAACAGATAGTGTTGGCTCAATTTACAGTTTGCTAGACTAACTGGCTGATTTAGCAAAATAGTCAACTCAGTGGAAAATAACATTCAAAGTAGTTGTTTACTTGAATGAGCTGGTTGACTGCAATGAATTTTCAGTAAATACAGTCTATCTGAAAGCACCATGTAGTCAGTCTAAAGGCATCAAATAGATGATTTGGCACTGTATAGGCTGTGTGTGTGTGTTGACTGAGTTTTTACAATTTCAATTAGTTGTATTTTGGGTTGAATAGGCACTGTCTTAGACTTTATATTGCTTTCAATAGTTAATGTTAAGTGTGTCTCAATTTCCCTTTAATTCCATAAAATGTGAAACAAACTGCCTTTGCAAGCAATAAAAAATACAAGGGAATATTAAAATTCCATTTAGCCTTTTGTTTCTACAATCAAAGGCATGCTATATTTCCTAAGAATATTAAACATTTGAGTAAACTGTCATTTTCAAAGGTTAAAATAGCTGTATTATAGTGGTTGGGGGCCAAAAGCAATAATGATCTGATCCAAAAGAAAACCAAGAAGAGGGACTCTGCATTTTAGGCGTGAATTTAGGGGTGAACCTGGATAAAGGAAGATTTGATAGAGACAGGATTGCTGTCTTCAGATATTTAAAGAGTTTCATGTGCAACAGGAGGTGAACTTTACTTGACATTGATAGGCAGAACTAGGTTAAAATGACAGGGATACAGATTTTAACTCACTAGAAGGAAGAACTCTTTAACAATTATGATTGTTAAAAATGTAACAATTCAAAATTAATAACTTTTCACTGAACTCGCCTCAGGATCTGAATTAGAGATAGCCCTTTTTGCTGTAACTACCACTAGATACCTTCTAGTTTTTCACATACTCTGGTAGTTGTTTGAAATGGTGGCAAGGATAGTCTCAATAAATGTGAATGTCTGAAGTTGACATAATTCTATTAATAAACACAGATCTTTAAAGCTACAGAAGCTTCAAGAAAAGTGTCATGACATACAAGCAGGACTAATTTTGCCCTCAGCCCAAATTCTGAAGGAGCTAAAGTTTATCTGCATTGCACCATTTTTTCCAAGTTTCCATCCTTTCAAGGACTGGTGACCTGCCAGCCCTTCCCAGGCCCTTATCTTGTGTTTCATTCCCAAAGGTTCACAGACTCATCTCAGCAGTCACCTAACCCCTGATAAGGTTGTAATTTAAAATTGATTCAGTTTTAATCTTTTCCAGCATTAATGATTGGAAACTCAGCTAGATCTCAAACTTTGAAAATGCAGGTGGAGACAACTGTAATACTGAAATATAGAAACCCAGGAAAGTGTTGGAATGTATGTCTGGGGAAATTTTGCAGTAAGATCTTGCTTGTTGGTTATCTCTATGTTTGATTACTCCTTCTGACTACTAAGGGAAAACCTGACTAAGGTTATAGCCAAAACAGTGATCTTCTTGATTTCTAAAAATATGCTCCACAATGCTGTTATATATTTGTAGATTGCCATGATATTCTCAGCTTACATAAAAAATACCTTTTGAATTTGTGAAAGTTCACACTTGAATACTTGAATACTTTTTTGGCAGGACACAAATATATTTGTATACCCAAATATGAACTGGCATGCCCTTGACCTTATTTTTACTCTATTTTCTGCAGAAATCATCACTCTAATGCTTTCCTTAAGGAAGGAACATACATCCTCAAGATGGGAAGTAACAGCACAAACAGTATAAGAACAAAGTGCACTGATCTTCAAGTGTCATTTCAGTACTCTCTCTATGCAACCACTTACATCCTCATATTCATCCTTGGTCTTCTGGCCAACTGTGCAGTCTTGTGGGTTCTGTGCCACTTCATTGGCAAGAAAAATAAAGCCATCATTTTCATGATCAACCTCTCTGTGGCTGACCTTGCTCACATGCTGTCCTTACCCCTCCGGATTTACTATTACATCAGCCACCACTGGCCCTTCCAGAAGGCCCTTTGCCTGCTGTGCTTCTACCTGAAGTATCTCAACATGTATGCCAGCATTTATTTTCTGACATGCATCAGCCTTCAGAGGTGTTACTTTCTGCTCAAACCCTTTAGGGCCAGAAACTGGACGCGTAGGTATGATGTGGGCATCAGTGCTGCCATCTGGATCATTGTGGGGACTGCCTGTTTGCCACTTCCAATTCTGAGACATTCTGGCTTAACCAACAACACTGAATCCTGCTTTGCCGATTTAGTGTTTCAACACATTAGCATGGCTTCCTCCATTGGCATGATAACTGTAGCTGAACTTGGAGGGTTTTTTTTACCTGTTGTAATTATTACTTATTGCACATGGAAAATGAGAAAATCTTTACAAGAATTCCAAGTTCCCCTTCAGAATACCAAAGAGAGAAAAAAGGCTTTGTGGATGGTCCTGATGTGTGCAGTGGTGTTCATTGTGTGTTTCACTCCTTACCACTTCAACTTCCCATTCTTTATGATGGTGAATGTCTTTTCAAACTGTTCCTTTATTAAGAGCACCATATGTTTTCACATCATTCTCTATGTCTTGCGAATCTGAATTGCTGTCTTGATCCCATTGTATATTATTTTATGACCTCAGAATTCCGTGATAGGTTTTTGGAACACAGTGGTTTGGCTCTTCAGTCATGTGTGAAATGCAAAGACAGTGCTTTAGAAATTCATCACAGGAAGGAGGATCTTCAAACTATCTCCCTTGAAATTTTGAATGATTCCAAGACATTGTAATCAAATTACTAGCTAGAATAATCTATGTTCTCTATCGGTTTAGCTATGTCACCTTGAAGATTTTTTTAAAAAATAAATGGTATTTTGAGTGCCTTAACAAAACATGGCCTCCTTCCTTTCAACCTCAAAATGATCCCTTTGAAGGAATTATTCATGACTATATTTTCTATCCAAATGGAAACATATTGTTATATGGAGCATATAATAAAATATCTTTCTTTACAGAAAGTAATAAGCAACAGAATAAATTGCACACCTCTTCCTCAGCAGTGGGTCCAATGTTTTCACTTTCTCCTGCAAGAAACAAAAAGTAAATTGAAAATAAGTGGACATAGGTGAATTGTCCAAACATTCAAAAATGTACAGGACAACAATATGATCCTAGCTTTATTTAGAAAATATATACTACTTGAGTAAAATAGACTAAAGAGGAAAGAGTTTTTAATATTAATAAGAGTAGTGGGAATTAATATCCAATAACTTGGAATATCTATCAGCATTTCCTTTTGTCCCCCTGGGTAAACAAACGATTCAGACTCATCCCAAATATCCCAAAAGTGTCATGAGATTCACACACAACACATACACCTTAAACACAGAAGAGAGTTGTGGTCTAACATATTTCATAAACTTCAGAGTTTCAAGGTTTGCAATGAAAGCTCTTTGCTTGAAAGTCTAAGAGTGTGTAAGACGATGCTTACTTTTATATATTGGCACTCATTAAGAAAATATTTTGTTATATTTATACATTAAAATCAATTGTGCAATGATATTTCTACATTGATTCCTCTATATACAACCTCAGTCACAACTTTGCTTGATAGATTTTAAATAATGAGTTAATAAAGTACCACACATTTTTTTTCTCGGGACTGTAGAGGCTGTGTAGCATCACAGTTACTCTGAGGAGAGAACAGTCGGTAGAGGGGTGCAAAAATGCAGAACAATAAAATCTTTAACTTGGAGGAGCAAAACCATACTCCAAGGAAGCATCATCAGCATCACCACCAGCAGCACCTCCAGCAGCAACAGCAGCAGCCACCACCGCCACCAATACCTGCAAATGGGCAAGAAGCCAGCAGCCAAAATGAAGCCTTGACTATTGACCTGAAGAATTTTAGGAAACCAGGAAAGAAGACCTTCACCCAACGTAGCTGGCTCTTTGTGGGCAATCTTCCTCTTGACATCACTGAGGAGGAGATGAGGAAACTATTTGAGAAATATGGGAAGGCAGGTGAAGTCTTCATTCATAAGGATAAGGGCTTTGGCTTTATCCACTTGCAAACACGAACCCTAGTGGAGATTGCCAAAGTAGAACTGGCCAACATGCCACTCCGTGGAAAGCAGCTGTGTGTGTGCTTTGCCTGCCATAGTGCATCCCTTACAGTCCAAAACCTTCCTCAGTATGTTTCCAATGAACTTCTGGAGGAAGCCTTTTCGGTGTTTGGCCAGGTGGAAAGGGCTGTAGTCATCGTGGATGATCTAGGAAGGCCCTCAGGAAAAGGCATTGTTGAATTCTCAGGGAAGCCAGCTGCTTGGAAAGCTCTGGACAGGTGCAGTGAAGGCTCCTTCCTGCTAACCACATTTCCTCGGCTTGTGATTGTGGAGCCCATGGACCAGTTGGATGATGAAGAGGGACTTCCAGAGAAGCTGGTTATAAAGAACCAGCAATTTCACAAGGAGGGAGAGCAGCCACTCAGATTTGCACAGCCTGGCTCCTTTGAGTATGAGTATGCCATGCGCTGGAAGGCACTCACTGAGATGGAGAAGCAGCAGCAGGACCAAGTGGACCGCAACATCAAGGAAGCTTGTGAGAAGCTGGATATGGAAATGGAGGATGCTCGCCATGAGCACCAGGTCATGCTAATGAGACAGGATTTGATGAGGCATCAAGAAGAACTTCGGAGGATGGAAGAGTTGCACAACCAAGAAGTGCAAAAACGAAAGCAACTGGAGCTCAGCCAGGAGGAGGAAAGCAGGCGCCGTGAGGAAGAGATGCAGCGGCAACGGGAAGAAATGATGTGGCGACAGCAGGAAGGATTCAAGGGAACATGCCCTGATGCGAGAGAACAGGAGATATGGATGGGCCAGATGGCTATGGGAGGTGCTGTGGGCATAAATAACAGAGGCGCCATGCCCCCTGCTCCAGTGCCAGCAGGTACCCCATCTCCTCCAGGACCTGCCACTATGATGCCAGATGGAACCTTGGGATTGACCCCACCAACAACTGAATGCTTTGGCCAAGCTGCTACAATGGAAGGAATTGGGGCAATTGGTGGAACCCCTCCTGCATTCAACCGTGCAGCTCCTGGAGCTGAATTTGCTCCAAACAAACGTCGCCGATACTAATAAAAATTTCAATGTCTAGTTTCCCAAAAAACCTTAAAAGAAGGACCCTTTATGGACTAGCCAGAATTCTGCCTGGAAAAGTGTTAGGGATTCCTCCCAATAGTTCTTCCTTGCCTGTACTACTCTGAGGGAGTTTGCTGGAGGCTGAGGGAAAGGGAAGGGCAATATTTAACAAATCAGTTCTGTGTTGTATATCGTTTAACTAATTGATTTTGTGTGGTGCATTCCTGATTGTTGAGGGCCTGTGAAGGGTGGGAACCATGGCAAAATAGATCCAGTTAGAGCCCCCATTAATCTTGATCATTCCATTCTTTGTCCATCCTGTTCTATTTGTTTTTTTATTTTACCCTCCAAACCCCGGAGACACTGCCATATACACCACAAAAACAAGCATCCCCCAATGACCTTAGCCCCATTGTTCCATTCACTCGCAGGTGGGAATTCAGGCAAATGTCCACAGAGGTCACAGACAACATACATACGGTTCTGTTATATCCCATATATTACCCCTTCATGTCCTAAGGAAGACATTTTCTCTTAGAGATTTTCATTTTAGTGTATCTTTAAAAAAAAAAATCTTCTGTTAAGTTGCCTCCATCTTTTTTCTTGGGTTAGGACAACCCAGGAATGGCCATTTTGTGTCTATGATGTTGCTGTTCACAGCTTTTCTTGATAAGCCTAGTACAATCTTGGGAACAGGGTTGCTGTATGCTGAAGGTTGGACAGTAGCTCTTAGCCTTGCCTATCTTAGGTAGTTATGCTGTGCATTTTTTTTATTGGTGTACCATGTTTGATTTGTCCCTGATATCTTTGGCGTTTTTCTGAGAAATGGAGCAGTAATACAGCATTAACTTATTAAAATATGTTTTAAGCCTTTGAAAAAAACAAAGTATCACACATGTAGTTTTTCAGTTAGACCTTATTTCTCACAAGTAAAGACATATATAAAGAGAATATTGGTGAATTGAATATTATTATGAATGCAGAATGAAAAATTGCTATTTTTTAAATTTTTGTGGTGAAATAATTTTGTAATCCAAATCACTAACATTGAAAAATGTGAAACTTAAAATTTCGTATATTTGCTTTCATTAAAATGGTATTTTATAAAGCAGTAGTCAGGTTTATAAAATTATAAAGACTTACTTTCTTGTCTTTATAAGGTTGGAAATTTACAAACTGTTTTATTTGTGTGAATTTTTTTTTGTAATAATGATTGCCTATTAGAACAGTGACAGATAATAACATTTGCTACAGTGTTGGGAAAATAGAGTAAAACCTAATTTACAAACTTGTCAAAGCACTATGTTGTCCACATGAAACTAATGAAATATTGTGTGTCAACTACACTCAAATAAAAAAATAATTAAAAAAAGAGGAAAGTGCTTCTTAGCAGAGGAAGAGGCAGAAGACTGGGAGGACCCTAGGCATGTCTTGTCCCACAAACACAGCTAGATAACTATCAAATCAACCTAAATTCCCCAGAAATTTACCTGAAGACTGAAAGAACAAACTCCACAAGTAAAAGAAGAGAAAAGGCCACATCAAAGTAGGTCTAGGGGAGGAAGGAATTGCAGCCACTGCTGAGGGAAGGGAACCATGGTCATGGAGAAGGGCAAGAGAGAGAGAACCACACTGAGGAAAACATGAAGAAAACATTTCCCAGAAGCCATTGACTTGGAAAACAAGAGGGCCTGAATTTTGTGGGTTCTTGCAACCAGTGGGGCTTAAAACCTGGAGTTTTAAAGGTCAGAGGGCTTGCCTGGAATAGAGCCCTGAGGGCATTATGCTACTCCTGGAGAGAAGACAGGCAAACAACCTGGGGACAGACAGCATTGAAACAAAGATCTGAAGAACTTGGGTACACAGAAGGGATATTATTCACTCTTCTGAGAGCACATCCCTGAGAGGCAACATTCATGGAGACACCTCTCCTGGAACAAAGGAGCTGACCAGTTCCATTTCCCTCCCCTTCCCCTTAACATAAAGAACCACCTTCTGGAAGCAATTCAGCTCCTACACTGGCTACTCAATTTGCTTACAACAAAACCCAACCCCCAGCACTCTGGTGGGGCTGTCCTTTTCAGTCACCTTGGCTCAGTCTCAGTGCAACAGGTCCCTCACCCAGAAGATAAGTGCAACCATTCCCCACCATGTCTCTTTACCAGAGAGTTTAGCAGGGCCTCAGTTCTGATGCAAGTGGTGTCATGTCTCATTTCACAAGCCAACCAGACCACACAGTTACAACTCACTGCATCCAGGTCAGGGACCAAACACTGCCCACAGCAAGCAAAGAAAGCCTCTGCAGATGATTAGACTGAAGGATAGAGCAGCAAAACCACAGTAGCAGAACGCATGCAGCACATAACGGAGACACTCCCTGAAGCAGTAGGCTCTGAGCATTACATGACCTCTTCCTCATAATGTCACTACTTTCAGAAGCAGGAGACAACGGGATTTTCTAACACAGAGAAGAAAGCAGAGACTTAGACAAAATGCAAAGATGGAGTGATTCATCCCAAATGAAAGAACAAGATTATGTCCAGGGATCTAAGTAAAACGGAGAATTTAAAGCAACAATCATGAGGATACTCATTTGGCCTGAGAAAAGAATAGAGAACATTAGTGAGACCCTTACCACATAGATAAAAGAGCTAAAAAAGAATGAATTAGATGAAGAGTACAATGAATGAGATTGGAAACAGACTTTATGTAATGAACAGCAGGCTGGAAAAAGCAGAGGAATGAATTAGTGATCTAGAAGACAAAATAATAGAAAATAATGAAACTGAACAAAAGAGAAAAATAAGAATTATGCAACATGAGAAAAGACATAGAGAACTCAGTGATGATATCAAATGTAATAACACCTTTATTAGAGGAGTCACA